ATGGGACAAATCGCGCTCTCGCCTGCATTTCCCGCACTCGACACGCACGATCTCCGCAGAGGGTTGCGCGCGCATGGGACAAATCGCGCTCTCGCCTGCATTTCGCACACTCGACACGCACGATCTCCGCAGACGGTTGCGCGTCAAGTCTCCAAAACGAGCTTTTCGTACGAGACTTCCTCAAAAACTCACACATCAAAGTCTGCAAAACGAGCGTTTCGTACGAGGAAACACCCATCGGAGCACACACATCACGCAGCCCTGCCAAGCAGTTTCGCGATTCCAGCCCCTCCAAACAACATACGCTCACACGCCAATCCCAATGTGACCGCGACATTCACCTCTACCACAGACTCACAACCTCACGATTCCCTGCGCCTGCCACGAATCTTTCCGCGTCCACACGTTTAACGCGCACAAAGTACTGCGCCTGCCACGAAATGTCACCTCCGTCACACCTCGCAACCTCACGATTCCCTGCCCCTGCTACGAAAATCGCACTTCCACACCTCAAAACCCGCACAAAGTCCTGCGCCTGCCACGAAAAGTGACAATATCATCTCACGTGAGCTTCAACAAAATTTGCTCCACACCACACGTTTGGAATGATTTCGACCCGTTCTGAGCACACTCCCATCCACCAAAATCGCCATTTCAGCTGAGACTTGTCACGAAAACCGAGCTTCGCTGCCACACCCTGCAACGCAAATCCCAATGGCACGGCCACATCCAACACCCCAAAAACACGACTCCCCAAACGCTAATCCCAATGGAGCTGCGCAGCAAACTGCGGATCTCACATCCATGCAAAGTCACTTGCAAAAGCTTCCCCCAATGGCAGCAAATTTGAGACGCGACGACGACGACAAACGACGAGAGACGACGAGAGACGACGACAGACGACGACACGACGCAAGCCATGCAAACACAGCTCCAACCCCCAGACCCCCAACTATAAACGGGAACCCTTCGCTACGCATTCGGGAAAAAAAAATCATGTTGGATCCCCCTAAATACGGCTTATATTTGTTTTTAAACTGCCGCCCTTTCAAGCCGCTACTAAACTACCAACATGGCCGACTTTGGAGGGTTCTTTTAAAATTAGGTTCCAAAAACAACTGTATCTGCCCACCTCTGTCCGCCCTGTCTATCCACCATGACACGCCGCGCTTACACCAGCAGGTTTTCCTTCCCCCAATGGCACGGACTCACGCAAACGCACTTGCCACCGAGGTCATGCAACACCGCATGACACAGCGACATCACCTTTCGAAAGCTTAGCTGTTAGTCTACTGAAGAATCACTATTCTAATGAAGGTTTTTGTAGGGGAAAAGGAAGACCCTTCGATCTGAAGGTTTTTTGCATTTTTGATACGAGTTTAATAAAGGATTTTATACAAAAATTTTCTGGATTACTTTGTGGTTTGGAAACTCTTTCCAGGTGACCCTATTTTGGACCCCCGGATTTCAGGGACCCCCTACTAGAAAAAATGCGACGGAGGTTTCCTTATTAGGGGGGCGGGGGGGCCCGTGTTTTTTAATAGGTGAACCGGATTAGATTGATGGATGAATGATAGAGTGTCTGTATGTTGTTTCAACTGTCAACTCATTTGTCCTTCAGTTATGCAGTGATGCGTTGGGTATCTCCCTTAGCAACCGTGGATGATGGACAGGTAATCGGACAAGCCCCGTAGAGGAAGCCCCGGGGAACTTCGCCACGCATCCCCAAAAACGTCCGACGAACCATGAGCGACCGCCGAACCCCACCGTGACCCTCCAAAGAAACGATGGCCCCCCTGCTGAAAGTGGCCATGTGTCATGTGCCGATTGTTTTAGGAGCACCTACTTAGAAACATCTACAAACGCTACAAAAGTCGATTACCACTTCGATTACCTTGTCCTTCAAAGTGATACATGTTGCTGCCAGGAGGGCAACGCCACACCGACGCCCGACAAGCCCTGCATGAGAGACACCTTCTCGAAGCAGCCCAAGTACTTGCCCTGGCGGGGTAAATCAATGATATCGGAACCCATGTAAAACAAAGCCCTACAAGTCAAAAGATCTAGTAAAACCTTGGTTCTTTTACCTCCTTAAGCAGTGTGTTTGTATGATCAACTCCCCGTAAAATGAGGTCATTGACCTGTAGAGAATGGGTGTGTAAGTTCATAGGGAGAACCCCCTGGCCCCATGGGTAGACTGGCCCATTTCCCTTCTTCCAGGGCGTCCAACCGAGAAAGAGAGACAAAGAGAGAGTCTAGCTGTTGGAATCCCAAATCTGTGATCTAAAAAGTTAAAACATCAACAAACTCCGTGCAGCATAAATGGGAAAACCGTATCCATGACTGCATATCTTATCCTATCTTATCCTATCTTGCCCTTCACCAACAGGCAACATGTAACCCAAACATGCACAAACAACGTTCTTAGATTCTTACATGCTAAAAGGATCACACCAAAAGGATAATGTCTTCCGAGTGTTTCGTTTGGGTGCTTGGAGCTTATGAGGGGTGTCTTTTAGGTTTCTTCCTACAACAGCTTCTTTCATCTTCTTTCAAGTCGACCGCTCCCCTCAGCATCTTTTCGAAGCTCCGAAGACCTGGGAACGGAACTGAACCCGTCTCACCTCCCGAAAGGACCCGGTTCTGAATTTCACCTCCCGGTTCTAAATGAGAACCCGCCGTGTGACAACGGATTTCTCCCATGTTCGGAGCAATGAAAGAAACCGGCTCGCCTTCGGTGGGGAGAAATCGGCTTCTTCTGAATCGCGACAAACACACGGTCCCATTGTCCACTGCACCCAATGGCAGTGGCATGGCCAGCCTTGTAATTCGCTTGCCACTTGCCGGATTTCAGCTTCGTCACACCTTGGTACCTCGGTGAGAGCACCAAGGTAACCGCTCTGCCGAAAAAGGCACGTGCCAGGGAGCTTCGGTACTGACAACGACTTGCGTCTAGCGATTCGCAGCTCGTGCCAAGTTGTAAAGGATATTCTAATTGCATAGGTGGAGCTTGGGTATATACCAGTAACATTGGATGATGATGGTTCAGTTGCAGGCCGTTCTCCAGGATACGACAATGTGTACCAACTGTTACAGGTAATGGGACAAAGCCAAGGTGGAGGCACACCTGCACACCCAGGGCACTTGGAGCTTCCACCACTGCCTTGTCGAAGCAGCAAGGGCCTTGTCGTCTCAAACAATTGGAGGTTGCTGGCATAATCAAGCAGTTCAACAGCATCCAAGCTTCTCTCATTCGCTTCCCACATCATCCAACAATGACAGAGTATGTTCGATCGACAAAATTGGGTCAATCCTCACCCAAATGCCGTCAACTCTTGTGCTGTCCAAAGCACATTCAGTCGAACTCCAGTGCAAGCGCCATCTGCTCCTACCCTGCCCGCCTGCGTTTGCCGCTGGGCTCTTTGGCAGCTTTGCCCACTTTAAGGCCAGGCTTGGCCACTGCTTTAGCTTTGGCTTTGGCCTCACTGCGGTCAACGTACCGAGCGGCTCCGCCACGACTGGTATCGACTGGTGGCGACTGGTGCTTCATTGGGCACGTGAATCTGAGCGTAGAAACTCCGTTGCAAACTCTTGAACATCAAATCCCACATGGCTCGTGTTCACCCAAATACACAAAACCATTTGAGAAAGGCAGTATTTATATAAGAAGAAACACATGAGTCTTAGATCATCACATTGTAAGACGCCGCAGCTGTGTGTCCATCTGAAGATGAGAAGAGTGCAACTATTTCCCCATCACAGAAGAGTCCATTCTCATAGCTTTGCGATGTCATGCTGTGTTCGCATTACTCGTATCCTGGCCCCCCCACCTTGGCTTTGGCGGCCGTCAGCAGCTTCATCGCCAAGGTGACCTAGTACAGTGGGAAGCCGAAAAGAGCATGAGCTTGGGATCATGCGCCCAAACAACCATGCACGTGAACAGAATGATTTGGCAGGGATGTTGACATGATTTTGTGGCCATCCACATCTAGCCTTTGTCCACTGAGTTCGCAAACCTTGGACTTGATCTCCATACTTTGATTTTGCCCTGTTGCTGAAAAAAACACATTGCAGAGAACCACTTGGAACATCATTTCAGACCCTGCATTTAGAACATGCCAAAACCATACCCTTAGAACAAAGCCCCAAAAACAAGAATCCACACTTAGAGCATGGGCAAACGCTAGATGGCGAGAATAAAGCGACCTCTATGTATATAGAGCCCAAAGCTGCCAGCACGCTTTGAACTGCACAACAAGACTTCTAATGAGCGTGTGGGTAGACGTGGCACCGTTGTGGGGCCATTCACTTCGAACATGCAGTGAGTCAAGAAGCTGTTACAAGTACAAATGGTTTTAGTCATGGACCAATGCTTACTAGTAGAACTTGGTGTTGGCACATCCACAAGTGTGTAGCCATACCCTTGTGTGAACACACACTTGGAACAGTCACTTCATCCCTGGAGTCGTTCTTTGTTATTCGGCGACTAAGTGCTATACTTAAATCCTGGTTCCAGCACCATATACAATGTTTCCACAATATGTTCTATACATAATAGTTGGACGATGTTGGACGTCAGTTTGTTTTGCCTTGAAGGCACCTCAAGCCCGACCATATTCAACCATAAAAGTACAGTAACAGCTTAAATAACATAAGGCAACATAACTTAATATTATATATATATAATGCAATATGTTGTAACTATACATAGTTAGATTCGTGATGACTATATATATATATATATAGAGACAGTTCATTTCAGGAGCCCAACAACATGATTGGAATACTAAGAGCCTTTTTCAATCTTGGTGGTACCCTTCTGAGTGTCCATGGTCGTGTCCCGGAATCCGATGCTCTTCAAACTACTGACTACTGCGCTCTTCACACAGAGAGAGTGACTACTGTGCTCCCAACATCTTTTTACCAACAAGGAATCTGACTCCGAGCCGCAAATCCGAAAATGAAGCTTTAGTTTTTGCCTCCCGGACTCTGATCAAAGGTTAGCCACCATTTGGCGATCCGCGCCCGGTCTCTCCTCGACCCGCTTCGCGGCGCGCGACCACCCGTGCCTTCTTCACCGGTTCGTCGGTCTTCCCTCGCACCGCGAAGTCCATGAGCCGGTCCACCAGTTCGGGTTTCCGACCACTGGAGTCCAGGCCTGAAACCAACGGAGAACCGTGGCGAACGGCCGGTTTTGAGAACGGTGGAAGAACGGCGGTTTGGTGAACGAGGTCGGAGGTCGAAGGAAAGAGTGTCCACTGGTTACAAAAAAAACTCTCTACCTGAGCAGGGTCCCCCGCCTTTCTTCTCGCACAAGTCCACCAACTCCTGCAAAATCAACAATCCAGCTGAAGGCAACTGCCCGTAACATGTGAATCAACAAAGCACCGTTGCTTTGCGTCACAACCATTGTAAAATTGCTAGCTGATGGAGCAACTCTACAATGATTTGCACGGTCTGTGTCAATTTTGGTTTGCTTCCTGAGGCCAATTGTTGCAACATTTCCAAAGAACTTGTCACCTAGGCTATATATTCCTTTGAACAGCTTCCTTAAATCCCCTTCATCAAGTCCATCGTTTCTGTCCTTCTTTTCCAAGAGTCCGAGGCGTTCTCGGCTCAGTCCATCATCCCCCTGGCACAAATGAAGATCTGACACTAGCACTCCGTCGGTATAATCGGTGTAGCTGTTGCAAGTGTTGGTGTTCTTGCCCCCAAATCAGGTCCTTGGGGGATTCTTCCCTCGGACCAGGAAGAAGAAAAGCAAGGGTGGCTTCTCAGCTTTCACAGGCAAGCAGCAAGTACCGGTATGTCCCCATGTTTTCCCATGACCGGACTGAATCTCTCCCAACCTTCTCAAATCCAATGTTGTTTTCCTAGCTTTCTGTGCCGGTATTCTTCTAGTCTTCTGAAAATTTCGGCTTCAGGCCAGCAAGTACCCATGCCATGACGCTCAGCGCCGGCGCCCGCACAGCTCACGCGCCGCTCCGCTCAGAGACCCTCGCGCCGCACCGGGCACCGCCGGACGCTCGGCGTGACCGACTCGGTTCACCGGTCCAGCACGCCTTAGAGGAACTTGAAGACGCCCCCTGACACGGCGAGGGCGACATCTCTTGCGACATCGGAAAGGTACCACCATGTTTCAACAGGGTTCGATCCGCCCCCAAAAAGATGTGGGGATTGATTCTTACTGCCGGGTGTTGATTTATAACATCTACAGAAAATGCGTGATACCGCTCCGTGTTGATGCTTATCGTCGGACACCTTTCTGGCAACTCCTCAGATGAGTATGCAGCCAGATCCCTCTGAGTATGTTACCTTGTCTGTGTTTCTCCAAACAGAGAAAACCAGATGTCGGTCCCTTTGTCGGTTTCCTTTTTGCCTTGGGTCTTTCATTTTTGACAAACGGCCATCTCTGCCTGCAGCCTCTCGCGAGTCTCCTTCATGACCTCAGTTTTAAGATGGTCAATGCGAGGATTGGATATAATGGAATCGTATTCCAAGAAATAAGTCCTGCATCATCCTCTTTGAACAGTCTAGATGAACTGGTTAAATTGAACTATGATGTGAGAACTTCACCTGAACTGAGTTCTTTCACCAAAGATCAGACTCCCATGACCAACACTGCCGCTTGCGGAATCGCCCCCCAGTTCATACCACCCAGAATACCACGCTCGGTTCGTCGAAGAACAGCTGAGAAACACTCCTGTGCGTCTTCGGAGTTCGGATCCTTAAGACCTCAAAGAAACTTCATCTGCCGAAGTCCAAAGACTATATCCCTAGGGCTCCAAGTACCTTCTAAGAAGGTGTTTCGGGTGGGTCAAGAGGTTCCAAATATCTTCTGAGGAGCTACTTGGAGCCCTATATAGGGTATATGTTGATCGACGGAAGTAAAGGAAGTTCTTGACCTCAGGTCACCCAGGGTCGACCATTCTATTGTCGACTTGACTCGCAGGGTTTGTATTCAACTCTTGAGATTGAACATGGATTGAACTAACCTATACCCTAGAAGTCCAGTTCAAATCTATTTTGCCCCACTGAAGTAAAGCATAGTCCTTTTCGGGTCACCTAAAGACCATTCTTTTGATAGTCTTTGACTCCCAGGGTATATATATATATATTCAAATATATCTTTGGGGGGGAGCTCTTCAACTATGGGGGGGGGCAATATGAAGGGGCCAATATGGGGGGTCTCTGAAAACGATGGGGTGGTAATAATATGAATGAACACACACAATAAGATTCTGCTGTTCTTCAGTGATCCAAACCGAACCGATGGAACTGAGGTTTCGTCGCTCCGAGTCTGTCCCCATCCGGCCGAACCCGGAGTCGTCTCATTCGTGCGGATTCGACATCCAAGACTCATTCCAATAGCCTTTGGACTTGACGTCAACACCGGCTTGCTTCATGAAGTCCCCTGGCAGGAGTTCGTGTGCTTTGTTTATTTTCCTGATGTTGGGAGATCACAGGAAGGCCAGCTGCAAACCAATTTGGGTCATGCGAGCTTTCGTGTGCGGAAAATATGTTCCGAAGCAAACGAAGGGGTCCAATATGGTCCAATGGTCCAACCCATTCTCCAACATTACCACCGAACTCCAACTAACCAGCTTCCGAAAACATCACCAAGACTAGACTCTAGACCAACACATTCTCCATTATGTCTATGCATGTCTAGACCGCTTCCGTAAACATCACCAAGCCACTAGCGACTTCGGCAACAGTGACTGTCACGTCCTCCGCCAAAAACAAACAAGAAAAACCATCTCCAGAACCGTCAGCTGAAGCGCGGTCGAGCAGCGATAGATGTTGGTGATGGTGGGGGGGCGTGTCCGTGGAGGAGGAGCTCTTAGAAGGTCCAATGCCCATGGATTGCATTGCCTTCTTGGCCGCAGTCTTCCTGAAGCTGTTCCACTCAAGGGCACCCCCAGCATGCATGGTATAAGTGGAAGGTCTCAAAATCGGATGGCAACAACTGGGGGAGACCTACAAACCGCGACTTGTTGCTTTGTCTTCAAGATGCAGGGGGATGATCAACACAGCAAACTCAGACTCGGCATTCCCCTTTGCAGCTTTGCCGGAACAACCCGGTGTTGATTTCTTTCAGTTTATCTCCAGACCTCGCAATGCTCAATCAAACTGATGCAATCAAAACAAGATGATTGATCTAGAACTTGGAGATGATCTAGCACATTTAGTTGCAAACACCTTTCAGTAACAATTACAGACATGGCATACACCTTTCTATTATTAGTAAATATTATTAGTAACACCCTTCAAACATGGCTCTTTTAGTAACACCTTTCTATAGTTATTTTTGAGTAACATTACAGTTACAAACATGGCTTTTCCCGATTCAAGCAGATCGCCACTTCAGGCACGATCAACCCTTCGCTCTGCAGCGACCCTGCCCTCAGAGGCCCTGCCGCAGGTTGATTTCCTTCCAAACCAAGTCTCTGTTGCTTTTTGGTCTTTTCTGCGTTGGGGCCGCAGAAATACCGCTGGTGGAAGGTGAGCTTCCTGGGTCACACGCAAGGTGGAAGCCAGCTAACACAGGTCTCCGCAGCCAAAAGGGGGCCAAAACATGGTAAAACCGAGGCACTCTGGCATGAAGAGCTTTCCACAGTACTTGCCTCAGCGAGCACTTGTTCTCAACGAAGATGAGTCGAAGACATGAATGATGATATTTCGATCATTCGATCGAGCACTCTGAGAAAGACGCTTAGTAATCCGCACTGCGGAGGATCCCTTTTTGCGGTCTGGCTGCATGATGCCGACAGTGCTGGAAGACCCGCCCCAGTGTTGGGCGGCATCAAACATGTATGGCGGCATCGGTGTTTCATGCCGAGCAGGAAACCGGATCAATGGCACAGGGCCACATGGCCTTTAAACCCATGTGTGTCATGATGTCTCAGAAAACTGGAGTTGCTATGAGTTGCTCATGTCTCCCCAAACTTAAAAGGTCAAGTCATCGGGACTTCAAATCCTCGAGCTACTCGAGTTCTTCAGGCGTAGGTCGACAAACTTTCAGGGCTTTGCGGATGATGGCTAGGGAAACACAACTGGAGTCTCAGGCCGAATGCCCAAGCAAATCAGCTGAAGGTAAAGGCAAAGATGGTGCACACGCTTCAATGGCAACTTCTGGATGTACTTGTATGATCTTATACGAAGATGCACGACGAAGGATTGTTCTTTGGTTCCCAGATCAGCCCAGGTTTTCGCAATGCATCCAAAAGAAAACGCCTGGTTCTGCACTGCCAGGGTTGTGGGCCGGAGCCAAGAGTGAGACAGGTCAATGAAAACAATCAAGAAGTTAGTGAGTCACTGCTCCACCATGTTCCACCACCTTCACTGGCACATACTAGCACCTCCCTGCAAGCGGAAGTGCCTTTATACCTCACTGCCGCTGTCGAGATCACAAAGCGGCCAGCGCACAAAGTGGACGGGTGATTATAGTAGCCTGGACCCTTCTTCAGGCTACCAGGTTGTTTCGTGGCATGTTCACAATGACACCTGTCAGATTCGGACAGCATCCGGAGATGCCACCATCGCTGCCCGACAGAAACGGAGTCCAAGGGAGTTCGTCTCTCCTTTCGTTGGCCGAAGGTGTTCGACGCCGAAGAACAAGTAGGTGGCCAGTCTGTAGGTTCCGATGAGTTGTTGCCTGGCCTCCAACATGCAATTTGTAGCATGACTCCATCAGCAAAGTTGTTGATCGGCCTCACACCATCAATGAACATCAGGGGAAAGATGTATTTTGCTGAACATCGTCACGTGCTTCGTCAGTGCACAAGGGTCGAACAAAGTCAACAACAGGACTGTGAAATACATCTCATCTCAATTCAATGCCATGATTCGTCTGTTGTGCTTGTCCTTGCGTCTGTACTCTGTACTTGATGGCCTCTCTCCTTTCTCTGGGCCACAAGCATGAAACTGGCTTTGACTCAAAGCAGAAAGTTGGCCAGGCCCAGAAAGTCACACCATCATGACTGTGAAAAAAAAAGGTAAAATGGGCAGGCACTGTGATCATCCGTGGGCTCCAGTATGTACATGTCACGTCATTTAGACCTCTTCCTTTCGCATCAGAAGCACAGGTCGTGTATGGTCAACTTACATAGCTGGCACACCACACCACCAAGTCCAGAAGTAAAACGGCATGAACTCGACATCCATGGCCGGTCTCGGCTTCGGATCACGACCGCAGGAGTCTCAGTTCAGCCAAGATGGCTGCAGAAGAAAAGGCATTGCTGGACCATTGGCAAAACACAAAAAAAGGAATCATCATGCGGGTTCACAATCTCACATGTCAAACACATCAAGCCTGATGAACGTTGATGGAAGCTTGCACTGACTATTGTCTGACCAAACATCTGATATTAATCTGAGATATGCCAAGGCTGCCAAGGTGCATTTCACTCGGTGCTTGTGTGCTTCGCGTCGATAATCGGACCTAATCAATTCACGAAGTCCTTTCACTGACTAAGTCGTCGCTCGTTTTGGAGTCTCATCAGGTCTCACAAGTAGAACAAGAAGAATCTCACATCTCCAGGCTGTACTGGCAGTCTAAGCTATAGATCCCACTTCGACAAATCATGATTAATTTGAAGATATTCTAATTCAAAGACACACACATAAGAAACGATTGATAATAAAAACATATGTAATATGTTGAGCTAAATAAACGGTTGTCCTTCGCATCCGATCATTCGCCTGTACTTCAAGCCACTCTTGACTCACCGAGAGGCTCTAAGGTCTGGTAGGTTGTAATGACAACATCACCTCAGGCGAGAAGAAAGCCGTGACCGGGCCTGTGCAGTGACCGATGGGTTACACCAACAACGACAAATGACGGATCAACACTCCGAATTCCTAAAACTCACATCACTCCATAAACACCATAGAATACCATAGATCTCTATAATAGTTCCAATGAGACATTGTCTGTCCTTACACTCTTGCTCACAAGCTCGCTCTCTCCGTCTCTCTCTCTCTCTCTCTCTCTTGGAGGAATCCAAACTAATTTGCCTTGAAGTTCAACAAAACATGACTTGGCGGGCGATCTTGCTGTCAGCCACCGCTTTTCCAACAATGTCCAAGCAGGCTTAATCTGCGACTTTCAGGTTAACCCCGGGTCAACCCCTATCCTGGTCACTTTCCAAGTGGCATTTCTTGAACTGCGTGGCCACTCGGCCTTTCTCGGAGCCGTGGTACACCAAGGTCTTCAATGTGCCTGCCACGCTGCGCAGTGAGCGCAGAACACACGGGGTGAAGAACCTTCTCTTTTGGAACCCAAATCCGCTGTTGCCCTGGCAACAGGACCAGTGTCCGGTGACGCTTCGCGACTCGTTTGAAACAGGTGCGTGTTGTTCTCACCGTATGTCTTGCAAAAAAAACCCTCCAAGCTGCGTGGACCGCCCGTGGACCGCCCACATGTCGCTTGCCTTTCTTCGTGAACTTCTCCTCAGAGAGGTCTGTGATCAATCCAAAACGTGATTGACAGAAACAAAATCAAAGAAGAAACGTAGAACAATCATAATGCTTCTCTTTCGGTGTGTTCCCCATCTCTTTTTGTGTTTTTGTTTACAGATTGGTCCCGATCGTGTCACATCAAAGCCCTGGACCCGGACTCATGCACTAACCGGGGCCTGACCGGTGCACTAACCGGGTCTCACCGGGTCTGGAACGAAGGGGCCTTGGAATGGAGGCGCCATCACTTAGAGAAAACAGCTCTGAAGGAAGTGTCTCAAACATATTCAATGTTGTTGGTGTTGGCTCTGCATTGCTTGCCAAAGGGTGTGCTACGGCTTCTTGATGTTTCTTGCAACTTTCTGGCACTACGCTCTCACGAACTGGCGTGTCATGGACACCAGGCATGATAGTTCACTGTTCAAATGCGGATGAGGAGCGATTGAAACTAAAGAAGGCAAGAGTCAGAGTCAGTATTTGACCAGCTTGTGTTGAAACACTATGCTCTGGTACAATCATCAAGCCACCCCTAGCCAAACATTTCTGAGCAAAATTTGCAGCCCTACCAAAGCCTTTCAGCCATCTGTGAACCTTGAAACATCTTTACACCATCAAACCACACGCCCAGCTCAAGCATCTCGAGCCCTGACAGCATCTACCAAGCCACAATCTCTTTCATCCATTGGTTCACCGCTGCCATTGGACAGATCACCAGGCACGGCCCCTTGATCGGCCGAGCCAAGAGGAGACTAATCGCCTGGCGGCCGAACACGATGGCTTTCGCCATAAACATCTCGAAAGAAACAAAGAGACCGGTCTAATTGCTTGGTCTATGCATGGAAGATCTTCAGCGTTCGCAGTCTTCCAATCCGGACTAGTGACTAGATCTGGCCGCCTCTAGAAAAAGGTCACGGTGGGCAAAACTCCGATTCAATCGGTCCGACCAGGCATCTTCCATCTCCGTCCACCCGCCTGGATCGTCTTGCCCATGCCCATCTCGTCGGCCAGAATGCCGCCCCTGCGCGACGCGCGACCCGGGCGACGCGGCACCGGGTACACGACCGGTGCCAAGGAACGCGGAAAAGGTCGACCGAAGCAGTGCAGTCCTGACACTACTCTCCTCCTGGTGGCACATCCAGGCAAGACCTGCAGGAATTGGCAGAAAGCCCGTGACATGGAAATGTGAAATGATCCATCCAGATGTATCATGGACCCATGGAGCCAGCTCATGTTCTCAGTATGTCTCAGTCTTGAAATCAAACAGGACTGATGATGTACAGCAACAACTATACCAAAGCACTGCACGGACTGCTTCCTGGACGTTCGCACTCCAACTCGACCGCCGAAGGGAACGTCGCACGCGTGACATCGGTGGATCCAACGGGCCTTCTTTCTGGAAAGGCAGCATGGGCACCGCCAAGTCCTTTGGGGCGCAGCGCTTGGATCTCGTTGAAGTTTTGTGTTTAACAAGCATGCAACATAGCAGACGTAGCACTGAAGCAAGTTCTGGAAAGTTATGGAACATCCCTAGCCCCCTAGTTTTACATAATCCTCAAGTGGCCCTCAATTAAGATGGATACTGTAGATGCGCTGTCTTCACTGCTGTAATTGAACTTGCCTGCAAAACCATGCCCCAAAAATTGGTTCACGTCCTAGCTGCTATCGCCGCCCATGCTGACGGTCTAAGAAGTCATGGATCATTCAACATCTGCTTTTTGTAATCAGGTGATCCTGGTGATCCTTTTTGGTCTTGTGCATTCAACTTCCTCCATACCCGCTATACAACTGTACAACACCGGTACAAGGAGTACAAGGTGGGAAGCGCATGGAGCTGCAGCTGGGAGCTCCACCGGAGCTCCGCCCACAGCACCATGCATTCTCATGCATTCTCACTCCCGATAGGCTTCCAAGACCACTTAAAGGCTGGTTGACCTGGTGTTGTAGTCTTGAAATCCAGTGAAACCATGGTTCTTTGGTAACTTTTGGTATTCAAACCATTCAAACCATGGTGGGGGGAAGCTAGTCCTTGGGCACTCTCTCACTCAGATGACGCGAGTCCTTGGGCACTGGCACTTCAGGAACGCTCTTGGTGCACCTGCCGACCGATCCACTGGAGTACTCCGCGGTGGCATCCGCCCCTGGCGACGACCGGAGAGCCGAACCCGGTGAAGCGAAGCGACACGGTGGGACGGTTTCGTGGCCGAGCCCCCACCACATGGGAGGCTCCGCTCCTCATGTTTTGACGTCGGATCTTTGATTCGCAGGTGTGTCAACGGCACGTGTGTGTGCATCTAAATGGAGTGAACATTACTAGGGACACCCCGAACGGGTTCCGGCCACTGGATGGATGTTGTGGACATCCCGACCGTCGGTCCCTGTTTAAAAGCCAGCGGAAGCGGAAGTGATAACGGTCCAATATGGTGATAACTTGGTCGAAAATGGTCCCATAAATTTTCCATATAGCGTTTGATGTTTGTTCAATCTATAGTCTTCCGTCGGGTAGCTGCTCAGGTTCGTAGTTTTCGCATATTCCAAAGAGCCCAGCTGCGGCTGTGCTGAATCAGTTGGGCGACATTCACTGGAACAAACAAATATGTTCAAGCTGAGAGCGTTTTGAACCGACCCTGCCTTCTTTGCTGGCAGCTGCGTGTTGACCTTCACTCCGCATCTCCTTTCCAATTAAAACCCCCATCAGGTCGCGCCCACTGCCGAAGAACTGGGGTCGATGGCGCAGTCGGTGTCCGTCATCTTATTATTGACTCATATTGAATCTGATTGGTCACAGGTGGCGATATCTAAATCCAATCTGTTGCGAAGATGTGAACAATTTGGTGTCAACTTCATCCCGGCATCGCCCAGCACTTTCAAGCTTTTTCGGCCAAGTCTAGCATCTTAAGAACACTTGGTCTCTCTGATCCAATTCAGCCTTTGGGTTGACTCATGTTGGCTCTAAAGGGATTTGCGAATGTACGTCGCTGGGACTGTGAAAACGAACCACCTCAGAGAACCAACAGCGTCTCTAAGTTTCAAAAAGTTTCAATCATCATGATTAATTACTTCCCAACAAAAAACACCCTCCAACTCGGACGCCCCGACCCCAAACCATCCCGCCGGTCACCCAAAGCGGCATCCTTCCAAAGTCGAGCCCGTTCAGTGTTGTTCAGCGCTTCATAGCCGTAAATCTTCTTGCGCAGCTCCTTCTCCTGGCGAAGTATGGCATGCAGCCATTGAAGGACACCGCCATGTTCAGAAACGGCCCGGACAAAAAGGCCGTGTTCAGTGCTGCACCCTGCGTGTTACCGCCCGCCGGTAACTCGGTGCAGTTGTGACTCGACGAAGCGGGCCGCACCGTCGTTTTTTGTCGCTGGGCAGGTTCCACTTGGAGCGACCGCCATCCGAAGGGTAAAGGTGGAGGGCAAGTGACGCGAAACACGGGAGTCCTTGATTCCGAAGACGGCAGGATCGTAGCACTCAGTGTGCAGGAACATAGTGAAGCAGGGATCTTGCTGCCTGAAGGCCGGCTGCATGCCATTGACACACACACACACAGGGGCGAAAATTGGCAAAACAAGAGGACGATGCCCGGCCAAATCACAAAACATTGAACAATTGTAAAACAATGTGTCCAATCCAATCTTCCCCAGGAAGGTTCTCAAAAATCGCTGGGTGTGTCCCTTTGAACTATACTAAGTAATGAAACATTGTTGCGACGTTGTTGTGAAGGATACCTCCAAAACAAATTATGCAAATCCAACCTACCTATATTTGAGTGTTTGTGTACTTACTACCATTGGAGTGGGGGCAACATATGGAAAACCTTGGTTGACCCAAATAACAGGTGAAATTAAAAACCTGCAATTCACGCAACATAACTCGGAAAACTCTCCAGGCTCCAAAAGCTCCAGGTCCAGCTGGCTGGGCGAGGCCGTCCGGCGCTCGGCTTACGCTCAGCTACGCTCGTCGTTTCAACGCGACAGGCCCACCACGTGAATGACAAGTGGCCGCCAGCGGAAAGGATATCCCAGTCGTAGGATGTCTTTCCTGAACAGACGACGGACGACGGACGACCGTTTTCATTAAAACAGGCGTTCTGATGCCGCTGAAGAATGCTGAAGGAGCAATGTACGACGTTCTTCCCGCTTGAACACTGACATCTATTGACCGTGAGTCCATGGATTGCGCTAGATCCTTCATCGATTCATCATCCGCAGAAATGTCAAATAGAAAGCAGCAGCATGAGGCTCTACGAGTATAGGCAAACCGGGACGCTCTTCACGAGCAACGCACTCTATCTGCTTGGTGGAAGGTTCCGAATATCCTTCTGTTAAGGATGCATGTCTAAGCAAACAAAATACTTCGAATTTCCCACAAAATCATCACACAACGTGTTCTACTTGTCTACTGACACATGTACTGGCACATGTTTATTAGGTGTCCAAACTGGTTTTAGTTCTCTATATATACCAAGTCCCAGCTTCTCGATCACTTCGCCGCAGCGTCGGCATTTCGAGCGGCCAGTGGTGGCATATTGACCTCGGAATGACCGTTCAGGCCACACGTTCTAGACAGCCGGGTAGAAAAGCTACCAGACGCTGACCGGATCAAACATGTTGGACAATAGAAGTTTGGCTAGGCTAAACTTCTAAACTGAACCGGATGATGTATGGCTCCAGGTCAGTGACAGTCGGATGGTTGATTGGCAGAAACTGCTGCTGTTCACGAAGTTGGCAAGTCAATTCGGCATTTTTTACACTTCGCGAACTCAGCATGTCCTTCTGTCAGGATCGCTGCAAATCAGAAAAAACAAAACAAACCAAAAAGCTCGCAACGAGCCACTGTTGGTTCGGAAGAGGCCACATTGAAAAAAACTGCTAGATGACTGAGTGTGCATTCATTTCTGTACAAAAGGAGATCGATCTTAGCTCCCAACCAACCACCAGCACAGTTTGTTAGTTCTGGAGTGTAATGAACCGTCATTGATGCCTACAACAACCCAGAAATACCCAAAGCCCTTTGCTAGCTGCAGGATAACAAGCTGCCTTTGACTTTCTACATCTTTAAACTTTAGTTTGGGCGTTCTCGGGCTGTGGAGGTGTTTTCTGAAGGATGCTAAAAAACGCTGGTTTCCTGGAACCATGGAAAATTGGCTAAATCAAGAAAAGTTAACATTTTGGAAAATATCAAATCATAAAAACTATAGTTTTTTTGGTTTCTAGAAATTCGATATCCAAAAAAACCTTGTTTTTAAGGTCTACAAACATAAAAAAGTTAACTTTTTTATATGTCTGGACAACAAATCAGTGGATTCTAGAAAAAAGTAGGGAGACTCTGCGGTAGGGAGACTCTGCTTACTTGAGGTTCAGGACGTGACTCACAAAGTTGGAACATCTAAGCCTGCGGGCCATAGAACCAGAACAAGTCATCCGTGGGTTCTAGCGCTTAGTAATGTTATGTTAATGTTAATCTGTTAAAACGCTCTTTGCAGATTCTGGTGATTTTCCTTGGAACCAAGTCGTGGTGGCAACCCAAGTCACCGTCGCCATGTCCCACTCACTCAGTAACCCTGCCAATATCCGACGGGTGATTGATTTCGCAGTGGGCTTAGGCAAGTGCCTAATGTTCCACGAGCTTTCGAAAGCGTAGATCTACTTGAATCTATCTTGTATGGAATTGACCAACAAGCTCGCTACACAATTCAGACTGAACGCTGGGGTGCTGGGAAGGCCTCATAGAGCAAAGGGGATATGAAATGGACACAAAGGAAGAATCAGGTCTACCTTTCTAGGGGTTTCTTCCTTGTTGTACCAAGCTGAGAAGACCCTGCCAAGGAGCAAAACATGGTGCAGGACACGAGGTTCTGCTTCTCCTTCTTGGAAAGGCTACTCAAATCATTTTGACCTTGCCACGGGGTCTCGACTCAGTGTCAGAGATGCCAACAGCATGGTGTCTTATTGGAACTAGTCCACATACACCAATGCCACTGTCCTCTGTTTAAGGTGGTGTCGTATGGATGCCAATCAACATTTCAGTCCTCATCGCAAAGAGATCCACATCTGCTGTCAGCAAAAGCGGACCCAAAGTCTAGTATATAGTAACATACTATTGGGCGCCTCGCAGACTTTCCAACCAATTTCAACCATTTGGTTGTTCCTCCAAATGTTCAGCCATTTGGTTGTTCCTACACATTGTGAGAGATGATCTAGGAACTTTGCTTGCCATGTGGCCATACCAAGTCTTGCTCTCTGGCTCATACCAAGCAGGGCTCACTGGTGCGGGTAAATTGCTCTTCTTGTTGCCCTCTTGTGTCAGGAAATTGTCCAGCCTGGGCTCTGGTCAGGAAATGGCGCCAAAGTGGGCTGCGGACACTACTTTGCCAGTGAGAGCTCATACTCCAAGGAAATGTTCCCCATAGAAGGTGATATCCAACATATTTGGTAAGGACATGTCAATGTCTAAAGAGTGATCACTTCTCTATCTGTCTGGGGCCTGGGGTGTACCGAACGATGGAAAAAACCAAGCACAAAAATTGAGGAAAGCACGTGGCCGACCTGTAGCATCCTGTAGCCACATCAGGAAGAGGGTTTAGGAACCAACAACTTTACCATGCTAGGGGCTTCTGGCTTTACTACTAGAAGCAAGAACGTTACTAGGGGCTCCTGGCACTACTAGGAGCAAGGACACTACTAGGGGCTCCTGGCATCGCTACTAGGAACAAGAACCATGCTGTGGTTTTGGGGTCTTTGGAGCAAGCTATATAGCCAACCTGGCCATATTGAGACACCGAGCCCTCGAGTAGGTTTGCTCAGTGCCAGCTCCTGTGGCGCCTTTCCTAAGCACAGTTCGTTGATGTTCGTCCCTAGCTCAAACCAGAACCAAGCAGGATCCCAAAACACTTCCTGGCCAGACCATCACCGAGTTGCTGGGCAAACTCGCCCATGAGATTTGCAAGTGCACCTCAGAAATCCCGTTAAACAAAAATGACACCTGGGATGCGCATTTCCAATCTTTCTCAACGACTACAAACAATGCCATCTTCCAACTGTATGCTTGAAACTCGCCATCAAAACCATCAAACCAAATCGCACATTCTTGCAAATGTTTGTCTTGAAGAGCTTGCCTGGTCACTCGACAGTAAAACAACAGGAACCTCCCTCTTTTGCTTTGAGCCAAAGCAACAGCTGACCGGCGCTGCAACTCATATTTGTACTTGGACATGTTTCTCTGCTCCAATGTCTTGTTTATCGCATGAAAAACAAACGCATGTACCGTTTCTCCAACGGTTATTATTTCATGTTATTTTTTCATACATTCATGTGCATTGTTAACTTCTGCACACAAGCGGACTTGCATGCAGCGGACGCCCGGCAGACAGTTCCGCCAGGCAGCAACGCCTGTTTCTTTTGGTAGCGATCGGATCGCATCTGCCCAAGGCGTCAAGGCATCTCTTCGGTTTTTTTAGGCATACAACATTACCTTGTTGCGTTCGTAGCTTCAAGCTACGTTCGTAGCGATGCCCTTTGTTACTAGTAGCGATGCCCCTGTTACTAGTAGCGACGCCCCTGTTACTAGTATGTTTTTATGTATATTGTCTGATCTTTCATCCTGAGGCCCTGTACTGTTTTTTTTCTACTTCAGGAGTGAAACCCTGGCCTTTCTGGACAGCGTGGAGTGTTAACAGTGGGGCCGCCGGGCGGCATGGCACGACAACGGGCTGCCCATGACGGGCCGCCGTCGTCGCTGTCACCGGGGGTTGGAAGCGAAGAGCAGCGAAGAGAAGCGAAGACCGGTCGCCCATGGTGTTCCTACGTCACCAAAGCTCCAAAATAGGTCTTGCAAAAAATTGACCTGATCCAAACATCTCTTCTGGATTAACAAACCTCTGACCAAAGCTGTCCTTGTTTTTTTGTAACACTGCTTGTTAGCAGGATTCAGATCCTATCTAGTGTGACCCTTCAGCGGGAAAAATCAAAGCAACTACGCAAAAAGATCAAAGGACCTTCGCTGAAGAATCAATCGCTTCAGCTGGGGATCATCGCTTCCTGGCTTTGCCCCTTTTCCGCATCTTTCAGAATCTGCTCCAACTTCTTCTGCTGCCTCACGGGGAGCTGAATGAGGAAGTAACATGTCGCTTAGTCCCAACGTACGTGTGGCGTCGCCTTTTTCATTGATTATCCCCCTTGTGGAGGTATCTGGGGTGAAGGATTTGATGTTATAAAGAAAAATCATTTATAAAATGGAAACCCTCAGGCTGCTGCTTTATAAAATGAGAAGCCGACCTTTTTATGAAATTCATTCGCTCTCCCGTCCAGAGTTCTCCCTTGCAGTTTTTTCGACTCATGCAAGTGGCAGGTCTCTGCCGCAAGGTAAATGAAAATGTCACACGTGAAAGCGACTGTCAACGAAAGCTTGCACGACAACATGCCCACAACCAATATCAATGTATTGCACTGAACAAAAGTCTCAAAGTAGCTACCAACAAGACTGCTCAAAGCGAGTGGTGCAACTTGAGAGCCGCCTCGGCGATGGCCTCACACAGTTTAACTGGGTATGGTTGTGCCCTTCGGGTGAGCCACACAGCATCGGAACCTTTGCCAACGAGAGTGATATGGCGTTTTGAGGTGAACTGACATCGATTGTTGTGGGTTTTGCAACACGCAGCAATGTCATGTAGTGTGGTGAACCCTTGGTGAAAAAGAAAACCGGTTGCTTTCTTCCATGGCATACCATAGGCACAGAAGTCAGCTCTAATGAACTCAGCCCCTTGAGAGCGTATCTGTCGCAGTTCCTTGGTCAGCCACATCTCCAACACCCAGAAATCAGAAAATGGCCAACTCATTGCAAAGCTGTATGAGGGTGTGCGAGACTTCCAAGAGACGATTCCGTAGGAGCACTTTCTCAGCATCTCGGGCATTGAGGTCAGCTAGGCCCATCAAACCTTCGTGATCATTTCGTAAAGGTGGAGGGCCTCCGTCGTCTTTTCTAGCGCGACTCCAGGATGTACAAGGCGTACCGAACCATACGAAAGCGATCTCTCGCGCGTGCTTTTGCAGGAATTTGCAAACACTGGCAAGAACTGTTGGGTCCAACAAGTCACACAATGAGCCATACTCAATGTCGTATGCAACTGCTTGAAAACCAACTTCTGCACAAGATTTGCTAAGCCTTGCGCAACCTGAAAAAACTCAACCACATATCGCTTGGGCGACTGGTCCAACATTGCTTTGTTGCTCACTGCTTGAAATAGTAATTGGGGCCACCTGATTGAATCGCTTCAGAGCTTCTTGACACTTCACCTGAACTGGTCGGGGCAGCCGATGACAATTTTACGGAATTTTTTGTGAGCCTCGCAACGCTTGACACTGTTGTCTGCGGCCCAACATCCTCGTTGTTTCACTTCCAGCAGTGTCCTCAGGCGCTCATGTCTGTCGTGTGATGGTCCTGCATGTCTCAGTTGGTACAGGGCGCAATGGTTCTGCTCGAGGCCTAGCTTCTTGAGTGCCCACTTCCATTTGTGTGAGAGGTGTCTAATAGAAAGACCTGACGCGAAGCTATAGCCTCGAGCCCCGGGCCCAACCATGGGAACATTGGCGAGAGTCCAGCGTGAGACTTTCGTCTGAGAGCCCCACCTTTGACTGCTGAAGCCGCTCTGCTGGATGCATCATCAAGCTGTAGTGCGTATTCCCTGGCAGCGGAGGGATGAGGTCCCCTCTTTGTAGGTGCAGGGCCTCCCCCGGACGCAGGTACGCGGTGAACATCAGTAGGATTGCACCCACCACGGTCACTTCTCCCGCCTTCAGAAGCTCCAGGCACATTGCAGCTATCAGAGCCCATGGCACGGGCGGGCGAGTCCTCTGTGGTTCCATCTTTGCCCATCCTTGGAGCGCCCTCCGAGTCCTCGGTAAGCACTCCTTTCGGGCGAAGGTGGGATAGGCATCTATGATGGCCGCTAAGGTCTTTGTTCCGTCCTGGAGGTCGAAGCCGAGCTCGAACATGTTGTTGACAAACTTGCAACAAACCAAGTCGAAGTCGAAGTTGCCTTTTTGATTCAAGCTCAACTTCATTCTCTTTGCAAACATCTTCAACTCTGAAATTCTCCGAGTGTAATCCAGGGCCACAGGTTTGGAGACAGCTACACTTCTCCAATGGTGTCTGGCCTCGAAATCTCGGCTTGTCGTTCCTCTCGGCTAGCTTCTCTTGGCGCCGACCTTGCTTTTCCGGTCTGGTCTCCGGAAACGAATCGATGGCCTTCCTCTTTTTGGCCATGCGACTGGGTCTGTCGGGCACGACGGGCTGCAACATCGAGAGCTCGCAATCCCGTGGTCCCAAGCCGATCGGGAGTCTTGCTGGGATAGCATGCTTCAAGGATCTGCTCCCTGTCTTGCCTCCTACTTTCTCTGGTCTCAGCATCGGACTTCCGCAGGCTTTCCCACCTTCTTGATGGGCCGCTAGCGATGTTCAGTTCACTTGGAATCCACCGTACTGCAAGTGAAGAGTCGGTGCACAGCAGCAAACAAGCAACCCGGCGGCAAATCCAAGCATTAGTGTGACGACCTACCCTTTGCGAGCATTAAAGTCATCGACATATATTATCACATAGATGAAGATGTGCGTGCCCAAACTCTTGTGAAGCACGAAACTTATGCCGAAGTGTAGCGACGACCCCCCCGACCCTCCAACAACGTAATGTGTTCCGGATGCTGCATGTGCACTGCAAAACACTCATGCCAATCCTCTTGCTTCAAAAAATCACGACTCACTTAATAATTGAAATTGACATCAAGCTTTAAAGGGATCCGGATCTTTTGGCGCGACGAGGGGTTTGACGGTTGAAGGATCACTGAAGGGATCTCTAGGCTGATCGAGCTGGTCCAGTGCTGATGCCCTTGGAGGGGCCGGAACTCTAGATTTATATCTCCAACTCTCCTTGACACTGCCCAGCTCGACCTGACTCTCACGGCTCATCGGTCGCCTGCACACCGCAATACCTGACGGCGAGGCATCGGATGCAGTGATGTCAGACGACCACTCTCGGCGCATGTCAACTGTGCAAAGGAAAAGAAGATGTGAACACCACTTTGCCTCCTTAGCTGCGGCGCTCCACAACCTCTGCCTTCGAGTGTAACATGTGTATGCAAAATCGTAAAGACTGCGAAAAATGGACAAAAGCTTTTTTGTCAGTAAACAAATATGAATGGCGTGTCCCAACAGCCTCTCCACTGCTCGTCCACTGACATGGGGCCGCTTGGCCAACCACTTGAACGCCTTCAAAATTTTGTCTAACCGTTCTGGAATGGGTGCAATGACTCCACTTGCTCCATCTATTTTGAAATCCGAATGATTGCGCGACTGTGCACGCCTCGAAGCCCAAAGCCCGGAGCTTCTCCACCACGATCTTTTTCGTGGCCTGCACCCGAGAGGGGTTCGTCGCCAGGACATTGAGGTTGTCAGCGTACACAATCATGGCGGGCCTCCCGGACTCGAGATTGGGGCGCGGCTTCCCCTCGACCAGCAAGTAGTCCACAGTCAACCCTGTAGCCTCCAGAGCAATAAACTGATGAACCCTCTGGCTGATCCACATGGCCCAACTCCAGCCCATAGGGTGCCCGCAAACGAGGAAAAGTCCAGCCTTCGTGATCAATGCCGTCGCCAGAAATCTGCCACTCCTTCAGCAAATGCCCGAGGATCGCCGGCAAGCAAAACAGGTCTTGAAGGGGTGCTGGAAGCTCCAGGCCATAGAAATAGTCCCTAATGTCCGACTGGGCAATGTATAGACTCTGACCTCTTGGAACCCGCACTGAACCCCAGGTAGCCCCGGCTGATAAAGCCATCGGCGGAGGCGACTGAAAACGACGATTCGTCCCCCTGCAATCCAGCACCAACCGAAGCTTACCCGACTTCTTTTGCACAAAGAAAGGACTAATAAGGTCTTTTGGTTTGGCCGTGAGGTCAATCATGTTCTTGCTCACAAATCAAAAATGAACTGTTGATAAAGTTTGGAGTCTTTCTCCAAAACAGCATCCATGTAAGGCCGAAACCCTGAGTGCCGCTCAGCTATGTCACCCCACGCAGGTCCCCTCATCCACCAGCGTCCGATTCAAGGCATCCTCCACGACTTCTCGACCCACGGGGTCCATCACCTGAAGACTCCGTCCGGCATATGACTTGAATTGGGAACGGTGTCAATGTATTTTCCCAATTTGCAATCAAACTCACCATGCAC